CGATGACGAGCGATGGCGGCGGGGCCCGGACGGCGGCGGCGGCGGCGCTTCCCTCTGTGACTCCCACACCAGCAATATGGCGTCAATAACAACGCCGCGGATTCAAAAACCAGCCCCCCGCACTGCGCCTGCGTTCCTGGGGCGGTGGCGGCCGCAGAGGCTCAGGGGACTGGTGGTTTCCCCACCCCGGCCCCGCGGCTCGGCGGCGGGAAGCCCGCCGGGGCGGCTGGACTACAAATCCCGCCGTGCCCCGCGCCGCCCGCCCCGGCTTCCGGGTTCTGATTTAAATCCCCCCTCGGAGGCTGCGGTGCGGATTAAAGGATGAGGCTGCAGCGGGGTGGCGGTGGTCCTCCGCGGGGCTCAGGGCTCGGCCGCGGGGGCGGCCTGAGGGAGCGGCGCGGCCCCGGGGAAAGGGAGATGGGTCTCCCGTCAGGTCCCGGAGACACAAAGGGGGAAGAGAGCCCTGCCGCCCGCCCTAGGTCTCCGCGGGCTGGCCGGCTGCGGCCGGGGAGGGGAGGGAGGGAGAGGGCCGCCTGCCTTTACCACAGGCACCGAGGGGGTCCGACGGCGGCTGTGTGTGGAATAAGGGCAAAGTGAACGAGGGCAGAGCAGGGGGCGTGGGGGAGTCGGGGGGTAGGAAGCGGGTGGAGGTGACAGCTGAGGGCACGGCAGGATAGGCCTTATGGTGCCGGGAGCTGCGTCTCGGGGTAACCAGCCGATTTCCTTGCAGTTGCGTAAAGGGCTTTCTCGCTTCAGGAGGGCGGTGAGGGAGGAGGTTCAAAGAGCTAGAGCCGCTGGTGGGAAGCGCGGAGCTCTTTCCTGGTCGGCTTCCTGATTGAAAGGAACTGTGTCGCAGTTCAGCCCAGGGGAAAAGCCGACAGGGGTTGGTGGGCCCCAAAATACATGTGACCTTGGGTTTTTGTGTACCTAATCCTGTTAATTTAACCGTGAATGTAAAGACAGGTCGTCTTTGGAAGGTAAAATGAGGAATATGCCCTCAAAAACTTCAACACTTTGGTGCTTTTTTGATTGTCTTGCAAAATATAAACTAGCCTTTAAAAAAACTCCAAAACCCAAACCAAACCTTACTATCATTTGGAAGCAAGTTTTTTGCTTTGCATGTTCCATGTGTGGTGTATAGTGTTAATTAAGCCATAACAGCATCCAGTCAGCCTAAACACAAATCTGATGTCTGTGCTGGCAATATGGTTGTGCTGCTCTTAGCGTAACTGAGGTTTTGGGTGGCAGGGTGACCTAGCAGAGCCCTTCTGCCCAACAAAAATAGAAATAGTAATTAATAATATGCTTTCTGTGACAGATAGCTCATGACGATGTTGGAACAATTAGGTGGAATTCACCCTAGGTTTGCCTGACTTGCCTTGGCCTAAAACTAATTACGAAAAATAGCAAAGTGATTCCTCTGCTGTTACCTTTTCCTTTGCAGAGGAGGTACTTGGAGTGTTTCCTTGGTAAGGAGGGTGCTGACAAGCCTTTCTAAAGCTGACACCGGTTCTGGTTCTCCATAACAAGGCTCAGGAAAAGTACTGATGTTATTACAGTGTTATAATTGTCCTGCTATTACTATACCGGTATAACTCCTTCTGTGGACACTCTTCTTTGGAATAATGATGGGTGGTTTTCCATTCATTTAATTCTTCATTTCCATTCCATTTCCCTAAGCAGATAAGTTTCCCCTGTGTTTGTGCAACAGTCTTAAGTATTCTTACCAAGCACTTCACCCAGGAGACTGAGGCAAAGTTGTTCTTGCAGGCTTTGAATGAAGGAAACTCTGGGTGTCTCTCAGCATGTGTATGATGCACTTGTTTAGTTTGGAATGCCCTGTGCCTGCACAGAACTCAGACAGCTGCTTCTGCCTTAATCTGTATGCTGAGAAGTGCCTGTGTTTGAGTGCAATATTGAAAAAAAAGATTTATAATAACCAGCACTTGCCCACTGAACTTAACATTTTTTTATATATATATTCTGCCTTCAGCTGCAGAAAAGATTTGGTTACTTTAACTCATGTAACACCAGATCCTAAGGACCATTCAGGTACAATTTAAGTCAATTAAAACAGTCTGAGGACTTCAAAACTTCATCAAGATAAGCTGCTAGAAAGCAAGCTTTTGCCAGTGCAGGCAGCACTATAATTGTAAACAATTGATTAGAACCATGATTGTCCTAATCAACAGAGTTACTCAGGCTTTATCTGACCCTTAATTTGTTGCGCTAAACTGAAGTCAGTCTGATTTAAGTCGAAGTAAGAATTCACACAGCCCTTTGCAGCAAATTAAACCCAGCTAAACCAATGTAGCTTTGCGTGTAGATAAGCCCTAAGGCAGTAAAATGTCCAACAGCAGTGACAAAGTGCTTGATGGTTGTCAGGGAACATGTGTTTTTACTTTCATTGTGGCAGGAAACACCATAGGGTCAAGGCTGCAAACCACTTGTTTATATTGTTCTTTCTTCTACTTACTTATTATATAACCAATTTGCAGTGTCCTGTTATGTGCTACATGGGGTGCCTTTAAAATTGTATATTATAAGCATATTTTTAAAATAAATAGTACCCACAAATTTTATTAATACTGGGAATGGGAGAGCTTATTTATAACTGGTGTTGTGCTAGATTTTATTGGATCTGCACTTCAAGCATGACACCTGTTAAAAAGACAAGTCCAGACACAGGACAACGTTTTGACCTTTGTACAGCTCTGAATGGGGTGGGAAGGTAACCCTTTCAGTGTAGTGCTTTGGGACTGGAACAGAGGTGTCGTAGTTGACCAAATGTTAGTCTTTATGCATTCTCTTTTCTTCCTCTGCTGTTGTTCCATTCCCACATTGTTTTTCATTTTCTTTTTTTTTGCTGTCTTCCTCTCATTCTCTTTATATACCACCTTGACTCTGCTTCCTCTTCCTTTTCCTTGAGACATCCTATTCATTTGATGCAGGGTCCACATCACAGTCCTTGTATTTTCTTTTATGCCGTCTAACCATATTCGTCCCACTTCACACAGTGGCTCATTTCTCATTAACCCGTCGTGCTCACAAACACAGGACCACTGGTTAGCTGAGCTGTTTTCTAGGGCTTGTTCCATCTCACCCCGAGTGAGCAGAAGTCACTTTAAGCAGAGTTGTTCCACTTGAATTTGGCCAAGCATACTGAAGGTTTCTTACTGATGTGTCAGGCACACATTGTGGTTGCAGATTTTGTAGACAAAATGCAGTGGAGGTTATCTGTCAGGACTTCAGTGAAATGTTTGTGTGGTGCCGAGTGAAAAAGAACTAGTTACGTTGAAAAAATGGGGATTACTGCAGGAATTGTGTGCAGGTAGGAAAAACAGCCAAAAGAAAAATGGAATAAATTTCTTAATCTGCTTTGCTATACAGTCAGATAGTGCTGGCAAAAAGGAAAGGATACACAGGAACAGGAACGAAAGCTAGAGGTCAGTGAAGGTCAGCTCTGCTTCTTTAGGTGCTGACTTATGCTGGTAAAATGTACCAAAAATTATGATCTGAACCTGCAACATGCAGTGACCTTCAATAGGACAAATACATTTTTTGGTACTAAGGTATTTCCAGCAGAAATACAGAGGTGTATTTGCCAATATGAGAGACATCCAAAACACCTATTTCCTCTAAAATACTGTATATACTTCCACTCATAGGTATTCAGAAAAGATTAATTAAAACCAGAACTTGTCCAGAAAAAAAGGTGACTGAGCCGATTAGGAAAACAGAAATGGAAAATTTACTTATTGCAAGAAGTTAAAGGATTGTTAGTTCAAGGTTATTGGCCCACCCAAACAACTGTTGAAGTCTATGATTTTTTCTATAAAGCACAAGAAGGAGATAAGTTCAGGGATTTTTAAGATCTATTTTAGTGATGCAGACTGTGTTGATACAGGAACTGTCAGTTACCTCACCCAAACTGGAAATAAGAGGAAGATTTATAACTGCCAGAGGAATGAGTTTCCAGAGCACTCTTCCCGTAGCAGTAGTATGGGTGAGAATAAACAAAATCAAGCCCAGATCTTTAGGTGAGGCTTAGGTGGCCTTTAGATAAGGCTTAATATTTTAAGAAAATGGATTGTATAGTATGGTTGCTTTCAGTGGCATGAGACTAATGTGAATGACCCAGGAAGTCTTTGCAGTCATTCTGTGATAAAAGGTGGCAACAGTGAAGTCACAGTGGAACTAAACTTTTTAGTTGCAAGGAGGTGAAGCAGTAATAACCCATTTGAGTCAGTTCACCTATATTCAGAATAATACATTGAGGCTATAAAAGGAAAATTACTAAACTCACTGGTGTATATGCATGAATTGTGCTAACAGACCTGGATATAGAATAATTTGGAAGCAGTGAGTAAAATTTTGCAGCTCTGACTACTGCAATTACCTCGACAATTTCAGGAAAGTGTCGGCACTAGCAAAGTGTGGATCAGTGCACTTTTCCATCCATTGTCAATCACAACCTTGTGTAGGTTCACCAAAAAAAGTAATGGGGTATAGGGAGGGCAGTGTCGTGAGGTACTAAAAATGTTACTGCAGCCTAAAGAAAGAACGCCTTATGTCCCCATGTCCTGCACACCTTTACCCTCCACTGTCAAACATTTTAATACACAAACAATTACATCATGCCTGTCTGTTATCTTCCTTCCTTTTTCTATTGTAACGAATTCACATTTTTAAACTTCACGTATAGCATTCCCTGCCTGAACTTTGGAGAAAATTTGCACCAAACTAAACTCTGCTTTGCTCTCGATCTTAAAAAACTGCCACAGTGCTTGAGCAGAATGGAGAAGTGCACTTCTTATACAAAGATTTTTTTCCAAAATGTTCCCTTATATCGTTGTAGAACAAT